GAGAAATTACTGTGATGCTTGATTCCAGACACACACTTGATATCTTCAAGTAACAGGTATGGACAGAGAAATAAACTTTATCCCCTCTCCACTCAGATGATGTGCAGTATCTTGGCTTTTCTGTCCTCTGAAATATTTGAATTAATTTTCACCCAAAGATCCTTTATTAATATTGAGATTTTAAAAAATGAAAGAAAGATATTAAATTGCAAGCAATAGTAGATACAACTGAATGAATATTTCAAAATATCTTGCATTAATTTACGTTCAAAATTTTACATGAATTTACTTCAGCCTTGTTTCCTTTTTTCTTGTGTTTGCTTTCCACAAACATATTTTTAACCAAGTTTCACCCTTAGTCTTGTAGCTAAGGTAAGTCAAATTTCCAGCAGTGAAAGGTTAGTTCAGTAGTCCACTGCACCACGTAAACCCAATTGTAGGAAATTTCCATTCAAAGCATAAGATACGCCATTAACCACAGTAGTTTATAGTGATGACAATATAAATGGACTAAACTCTGATGATTCAATTGGTGCTGTTTTACAGCATGTGGAACTGTTTCCAAGACTTCTAAAGAAACTTGTTTATGGCAGATTAATGTGTCTGTTTAAACTTACGCTGATGATTAGTCTAGATTTTCTTACATTGCCTTTAGTAGTGTACAATTCAAGTAAATAAAAATACTTTACCTGTAAATGTTTAAAGCAAACTAACAAAGTTGTTTAAAATAAAAATGTAAAAGATCCTTTTTGATTGCTAACTTCTAATGCTGGGAAATCTAAGCCCCTCTCATCTACAGCATTCTAGCCATAACATACTTTACTAGAAGTGTTCCATTTTCCCATCAAGTTTTATTTATGACACACTCATTGAAAAGAAAATGGGCTCCACTAGGAAGTCATATAGGATGAAAACAGAATTAAAGAAGTCTAAGTAGGAACAGAGAACAACATAATTTAAATCCAGTTAGCTTAAAAGACAAATACAGATAAAAGCACAGTAAACAGGAGGCTAATATCTCTGGCACAGGAAGGAGTCAGACAAGGTACTTGGCCGATTGCCCTAGCAGCTATTAACTTCAGCTCAGGAGTTCTGTGCAGTTGTGGATATGTACAGGAGTCTGAGTCTAACTGCTAAAAAAAAAAGACAGTACAATTGATGAAAGGTACTGAAAACAGCCTAGGACTATGACTCTTAAGAGCTTCAAAATCTTAATCCTTTACAAATTATTTTTAAAATTGAATATTGGTTATTTTTATGGCCCTGATTTAGCAAGCCATTTAAACTCAAACTTAAAGCTAAGTGTGGATTTAAGGACTTTGCTAAATTGGGGGCTATATAAAAACATTATTTTAATCTTAAAATATCATGTGAAAGATATGGTGCACTGTAAGTGTTGTGTTTCCAAAATATTTTTAAGTAATCTCCATTGCCCTAAACCTCTTTCTTTTTAAGGTCTTGTGATAATTACATAGGGGTCACATAGAAGTCACTAGCATTAGCAGAGCAGGCAATAATAAACTTATTTAAGACAAGAAAGGAGGCTACAACTAAAATATGAAATCAGTATAGAAGTTATAAGCATACAGTATAGAAACTCTTCTGCATTACTAAATTCACTGTTTGTCCAAATGTGTTATTGATACGTGTTTATTGAACACTATAGGCGAGCACTGTAGAACGATAAAGGAAATGTCCTGAGCAGTAAGCCAGTGCCAAACCACAAAAAAAGGGTCATATCTTTCACAGTCCTGTCAATGGGGGAAAGGAGGGGTAAGAAAGGGGGCAACTGCCCCAGGACCCTGGCCTCCACTGCTACTGCAACAGTGGTGACAGTTGGAGCCCTGGGTCCTTTCATTTGCCGCTGGAGCCCTGCACTGCCCTCTCCTAGTGACTCTGAGGGCTGACAGGAGTGAGGGGATGTAGTCTGGACAGTGCTGAGGGCTGGCTGCCCCTAGCCCTTCCCCTTGTGCCCAAGGCTCCACCCTTTCCAAGAGCACAGAGCTGGAACCCCTCCTATCTTGCCCAGGTGCCCGACAAATCTGTTGGCTCCCCTGGTCTTTCATAACACTAGAATCAAGGCCCATGATGAAATAAAATGCTCAAATACACAGAGAAGAAAGGAAAAGTAAAGGTGTTGCTCGCAAAGAATTCTCCTGCATCAAGTAACTATCATCCAGGCAATGTCCACTCGGGAGAGATCCCAACATTTCTTAGAAGAGAGAGAAAATGCTAGGGTTAATGATAGTAATCCATTATACAAACATCATTTCTCTTCACACCAGTTAATACTATTAACTTATTAGTGCTTACTACGCACCTGAGGTAACTGAATATTGATATGTGCTAAGATTTCCATTTTGTGATTAGTAAGTTGAGGCAGAGGCATACCACAGAGGCAGTGATGGGGAGACGATTAGCTTCTGGATCTTCAATCAATACACAAGACAGGGACAGATGGCATGAATCTGTGTAGCAGCAATGATTTCACTAGAGCTGTGAAGATTTACACTACCTGATTATTCGTTGCCAGGTTTTTCTGTCACAAGAGTAGCTGGGGATGGGGAGACTGTAAACTGCTCTGAAATTTCGAAGGGGTGGATATGATGAGGAGCTGCCAGGCCTTCATGGGATACCATGACCAGAAGACTCTTGAATCATCTGGAATAAGGATTGATAATTACTCACCCATGTATCATATTTGGAGCCTGCGTTTCTCAGGGATGATAGGTTCACCTCTTTGACCAAGCAGTGGATATATCTGGTTGATGTTAGGAAGAGACCTATTAACTATCTGGGTCTCTGGCTCAGATTAGAGGGGAAATAGCCAACCTAATGGCTGGCACCTTTTTGTAACAGAAGTCCAGTGCATGTACTCTTCCCATAGATGATCCAGTTCCTTGATAAACTGGAATTAGTGGTCTTAGGGGAAGGAATCTCCCCACAAAGCTGGGAAATGGAGTTAGAATTCCCATTAAGTGCTACTTTTCTTTATAAATACAATATTCTTCTGCTGCAGGAAGGCTGTCTTCTCTCAAAATTAGAGTGGGTGAGGACCTTGTCTGGAACAACTTCTGTTGATGAGAGACAAACTTTTGAGCTTACACAGATCTCTTCATAAGAAGTAGTTGGTCCAATGAAAGATATTACCTCATCCATCTTCTCTCTTTAATATTCTGGTACCATCATGTCTACAATCCTATGTTCTTTCAAGATGACTGCCATCTCCTATTCTCGAGGGCACTAAAGCCACAACCACTTCAAGAAGAGGTGCTCTCTCAAAATGTCTACCACATCCAATTGGTCCTAGTAGGAGTGTTATTACAGTTAATATGGTGGCTCCTGACAGGAGAGGGAGTTATATAATTTGGGCCAATTGAAAATGTAATATCAAAATTGTTTTTGAACAGAAAATTGGGTTTTCAATTAAACAAACTTTACTGTAGAAAAGTCTGTCCTGCAGAGTATTTTGAGTTTTCTACAAAAACACTTGGACTAAAAAACACTTTTTCCATTTTTTAAAATTTTTCAAATCAAAATGTTCTGATGAAAATTTCAACAAAGTAAATTTTTTGAATTTTCTATTGGGAAAAATCCTATTTTGCTACTAGCTCTATAAATATTCCTTATTTGGGGGATAATTACATCATCCTTGTCATCTTTTTATACTTAAATTATTGACATATTTTCTTATCCTTAACTCCAACTTAACATAATTTGGATCTTGAAATCTATACAGTAAATTGTTTCTGGGAATGTCAACAAGTAAAGCAGGAGAAATATTAAGTATCTTAACGGTACATGAATAGACAGTAAAAAGTCATTGTGTGCATTTTAAACATCAAAATATCTACCTTGCTCCCTGCTGGATACATTTAAATATTAAAAGATTTGTTGGACCTGATTCCTCAATCTCTGTTCACACAAAATGCAAATTGATGCCAATAGAATTTTTGCTTATGGTCTTCAAGACTGTGTTTGAAAATGAATCCCCTTCCATAGTCATATAAAAATATGTGTACATAGCAATTGGTAGAATAAACTACTGTAATTTAACACTTGTCCTAGCTTTGTTTTTCTTTTTTTCTTAACTCCACCTGTATTTTCCATCTCAAACTTTACATTTTTCTTTGTCTCATTTTAAAATGTACCATCAGGCAGTCTTTCTCTCTTCCTCTTTTTTTTTTTTTTAAATCTGTATTTTCCCTTCAGGTCACTTTTCCCTTTCTTGATTCTACCTTCTCTTAATTTTATTTTCCTGTCCATATTTCCTCTGACACTAGTTTAACCTGAAGTTTATTCTTTATGGTCCCTGTGAAAGGTCTCGATAGTTTAGACCTCTAGTTACCGGCCCCGTCGGGCTTCACAGGGCTACACCCTTGGCCGCTGCTGTGAATGCTGCTCCAATTGGCTGGGCAGTAGGAAGTAAAGGAGGGGAAGGGGGACTCAGGCCTACCCTCTCTCCGAGTCCCGATCCAAGGCCCTGAGGTCAAGGGGAAGTCATGGCTCCCCCTGCAACCTGACTGATGGAGTGTTGCTCCTTAACTCCCCAGTCCGCGGGCTTACCTCCCTAGCCCTGGCCTGGGCTGCTTCCTTCCCCTCTTGGCTCACCAGGCCCCATGTCTGCTGAGCTTTCTCTCTCAGCATTCCAGACATGCCACGCCCCTTCGTCTGCTGTTTCTTGCACTCTGGACCTTTCCTGTCCTAGTCCCTCTTCAGCTCCTTCTCCCTTTCTCTGTCTATTCTCCTCTCCTCCCGCCTCTTTGTTACCTCTTTGTGTCTCCTCTAGTCTGCATTTTATCCCCCTGGCCTCTGCCCCAGTCCACCCTTTGGCATCTCCGCTGTTGTCACCCCACCCATGGCCCGCGGGGGATGTACCGCGCCACCCGGCAATGCCTCCCTGGCCGGCCCCTAGCATGTCGGCTCTGCCAGCTGGGGCTGCGTGCGATAGCCTGGCAACACTGGGCGGGCCGGCCCCTTGTGCAGCGTCACTGGCACATGTGCTAGGCCTTGCCGCCCAGGGCTCCCCAGCCCCGTTTGGTGGGACCAGTGTTGAGCCATTCGGCTGCCCTGCCTCAGCCGTGTGGGGCGACAGTGTCTGCCCCTTATCATCTGCCACTTGTCCCCTGTGAGGGGGAAAGGGCTGCAAGTATGGGGTTCTGCTGCCCCGTCACAGTTCCCCATATTTCATCTTTTCTTTTCCTCCTAATTATATCCCTCCCAGTTTTTTTCTAATATTCTCAATTTTCTTTCTGCTTCTTCCCCTCCTAATATCTTTGTTCCTTTCTCATTTCTTCTGTAATTTACACCTCACTTCCCAACCGTTGCTCCTTTTTTGGAGCTATGTAGGCACAAAGAAATTCTACTTCCCTTTTCAGGTGCATGGAAACCTGAAGCAGGGGACCCATTTCCCTTTTCTAGGTCTTCTTTGGTGG